GGGCTGAGTCTGTATCCACAGTGGAGAGTCCAGGGTGAATTTCAACTCCTGGAGTCAGGCTGTGCTGCCACAACTAAAAAAGGCTGCTTTATTAGTTAAAGGGCAGAGGAAGAAATCTTTTCTAATCCACTCTCAGGCTCTTGTTCCTCTGAGCATGCTGAGATCGACCAGACGGCAGGAGGGATTGTGAGTGTGTTGACTTATGTACCAGCATTACTTTTCAAAAGATAAGGAAAGACAAAGAAATACAAAAGTTTATGGGATGTTTTATTTTTGCCATCTTTTAACTGCCTCGTATTGACTTTACCTGTGGCTTTAAGGGTGAATGATGTGGAAAAAAACACACTGCTATCCAGTGAGGTTCCATTCATTGTTTGTATTGTTCACTCGTGGATGTGATATTACATGAGCAAAGGTGTATGTGGAAAACTGATCAAATTGTTTATCTTAAAGGGCAACTTTAGGTTTACCATTATTGCTCAGAGACTTTAACTATGGCCTCTTGAAGCCTCATGGTGTCTCCTGGCATATGTTTGGGGTCTCACTCTAGGGGTCGTCCACAGAAACGTGAAGGCAGGATGTCTCCACCACTGATTAAGACACCAGGAGGGTAATGAATACCTTTACACACCCAACGGGAGGGGGCTGTGAGTTATAAGTACACAGATCCCCCCCTGTTCTCTGCTCATCAGACGCATTCAGGTGATGTGTACTGTGAGTCCCTCTGCAGATGCTGAATGAAACTTGCAGAAAGAACTGTTTGACTTTGTGCTTGATTCACAGAAATTGCCACCACACTCATCATGGATCATGATTATTTTTTGTAGAGGAATTTTTCAGAGACACAGTGAGATTAATTCTGGAATATTGCAAAATATTTGATTACAGATACATATGTCCTAAGTTAAAGTTATGTTTTATACATTTGGGTTCAGATTGGAGTACCTCAAAAATTATACAAAGCTACGCACATCCAAACTTTATAAGCAACAGATGCTGGACAGAAGCGACAAAAACCAGAAGACAAGAAATGTCGATAAAACCAGTTGATGCTCCAGAAAAGTTTTTAATTACCCAACAGCTAACGTTTCAGTACAGGCCCTTCTTCAAACCTGTGCCTGAACATAACCTGAGATCATCAGCTACAGACAGTTCTAGTCTTTGGCTTTTATTTCTGATATCAGTGTTGTGTTCAGGTTTCCTTTTGTCCTCATTGTGTTTGTCTCTATAACTAGATTGTCGATGGTTCAATTACAGTCTCCTCTAAAATACTACACATGTGGAAGTGACCTTGCATAAGTTACTGAACCCCCCCCCCCCCCCCCCCCCCCCCGGATCGCCCCTGATGGTGAATGCAAATCTGTAGCGTAAATCACTTTGAAAAACACTAAATGACTACAGACCATGTAACGCGGTTAAAGTTCAGGTGACGACGCCAACACATGCACCAGCTGTGTCTCTGGTGAGGCCAAACATCACAGATGTATGTAAGAGGTGGAGCAGGTGACGTAATGTAAACCAACATCATCATTCAAGCACACTTAATAAACACACGCCCTCATCAACCCTGCACGCCATCGTTGAACAAAACACACATGAACAAACTCTTCAGGATTCTGTTCAGGTACGAGTTTTTTTTGGGGGGTTTGAAAGAAGCTCAAAGTTCCCACCACCGTGAGTCTTAGATGGAAGCATTTGTGCATGAAATGGACGGAGTCATTTGAATATATAAAGCTAGTCTGTGTTGTTGTTATGCTCCGACATGCTCAGGGAAACAGTTTTCAGTAAAGGCCTGAATCACTGATGAATTTATTCATGAGCCACTCGATGCGGGGGGGCGGCTCTGATGTGTGTTTGTCAGCATTTCGTTGTTCACATCCCGGCAAACCTTATCTCTAAAACAAGGTTTTGTCCCAAATGATGATGGAGCGTTATTTGCTGTGGAGCAGCTGTTTGAGGAAACATTAACATGTTGTTTTGATGCAGGTCAGAGACGGTAACCTCTTATCATCAGCTGCAGCTACATAACACGCTCAATGTTCTCAGGTTTTACGAGACGATTCATGATTTAAGCTGCGTTTCAGTTCGTGGGTCCAAATCATTTTCCACCTGAGCGGTTCAGAGTCGCAGCAGCGTCACAGATAACACGGTGATTGATGGGTTCATTTCTTAATGACTGGTTTCTGGTTCAGTTTGGGAATTTGTTGTTTCAGGTCAGATGATGCTGTCACAGCTCGTTTGTTCCCTGAACATAACAAAACCACTCAACAGCACTTAGGTGAGATTTATATTTGTCCTTTGTACCAAAATTGCCGGTGGTCTCAGCAATGCTCCGTCCATCACAGTTTTTTAAATCCAGATTGATAACTGCTTTTATTCACAAGGGCCTTTAACAAAAACTCAAGTCATACCATCCTGTATTTTACTTGATTTTATCACATATTATTTTATTTTACTATATTATTCCAATCTATTTTTATTGTATTTACTCATTCAATGTAATTTTAAATTTTTATATGGATTTTATCCTATTTTTTATTTTTTTTATCTGTCACTTTTAGGGCCGTATGGTTGCGTAGGTTGTACACATCCTCAGAAATTAATCAAATCCAGGGGCAGTAGCGAGTCCTTGACAGCATCAGGGGCCACGTCAGGGGCCACGTCATTAACGACAGAAATGGTGGCGAGTTTTGAAGACGATCTGTGCAACCAGGTCCAGAATTACCCTGACATTCACTAATCACTTTTTCTCTCTCGGTCAAACAAGTAATACATTTTACAATGATGTGAGAATATGTGAATGGATTGTTTGTATTGCACAGATGTTCTCCCTTGTTTTGTTGCTGTGTCAGATACAGTCAGTACACGCTCTGCCTCTGTGGTCCCGGGAATGAAAGAGTTAAACCATCCATTCCACTCTCCGGCCTCGGATTATTCGCTCTGTCAGTGTGCTCATGCATGTCAGTAGTGCAATCACTGTGTTCTTGAGAGAAGTGACATTCCACCACTATTTAATACCACCAGATGCCTGTCAGTCTCCCTTTTCTGCTGCCGCACACCCTCTCCTGTCTGCAGGCACGGTGATGAAATATGAATTTAATAAGGCTGCTGACTCTTCCCTCTGCCGACGTGAGGGAAGCAGCTGCTGACTGGACTGTGCACGAGTCTCTGACTCTGAGTCTGGAGTGGATGAGTGGAACACCTCAATTAAAACATAAATCCCAAGACATTGACGTAGATCATTAGAAAATATAAAAGATACGACAATCAGAATCACGTGATTTGACTTTTTATGTCTCCACAATGGTGACAGCCTGAGGTCAGAGGCTTTAAGGTTTCACCTCGTCTGTTCATCTCAAGGACCTTCTCAGTCTGAAGCTCAAGGTCACTGTGATTGCACAAACACTTTTTACCTCGTGAACAAGTTGTCTTGAGAACTCAGTAAAGGAATTCAAATTTGGCACAAATGTTCACTTTGACTTTCTGATGAACTTCGTGTCATTGGCCTTTTGAACATGAAATCTAAGTTTTGCCTTTCTGGAATTTCTTCTCTCTTCTCTTCGTCATTAGGACAAGGAAACACTGTGTATGAATACAGTTAAACATTTCCTTGATAATGATTTTAAGACACAAGTAACTTTGATTTATTCTCAGATCAGACACAGCTTGTTGGCATCACGACTTTAGATTTTGCCATTTGATGCAACTTCTCACTTTTACCTTTTAATAACTGAAATGTAAAGTCACGTTTTGTCAGGTTCTGCCATGAATAAATCAGATTTATATATTTTTTGTTGTTGAATTGTATGTTTTCATCTTTAATTCTGGAAAATGTGCACAGATCATGAGCTCAAAAATCATTAAGTCAAACACTGGGAAAGAGGAGCAGTGATCATGAAAAGTCGACTTTCTCTAACTTTGTTTTTCTAGACTTGTTTATTAAAAGCACCACAGAAAAATGGCCACTGGATTGTTTCAACACTGCTGCTGAGTCTCAACAAGAAATTGTTTTTTATTTAGTGGGTCTGTAGGATGTTTTTCTATATTCCTGGAGTTTCCCTGTCATGAGTTCTGGTCACTATAAAGTAAAAATATGAAAACCACAGAGGTTTTCTATTCACCTGGGCCCATACATCTTTTTTTCCCCACTGCTGCCAACAACAAAAGTAATTTCATCAAGTAAAGGCAGAACTGCAGAGAATATTAGACCCTGAGGGATCGCAGCATAAATCTTCACAGTCGCAAGATGTTTAACTTGAAAAGATTCTAAAGTTTCTGCTTTTTACCTCCATCACAGACGTCATGTCTTCACCCCTGTTTGTTGGTTTGTCAGACATAATGCCATTTCTCTATATCTGCGAACTGAGCAGTGATATTCTACATGCTGAAGGTCACAGGTTTAACATCTGCAACAGAAAAGATGCCCTTGAGCAAACCACAGCCCGGCTCCTGTTTAAATGCAGCTTTGGATCGTGATCAAACTCAAAGATGACAGTGTAAAATATGAAAGAGGAAACAAAGAAGCACAGAGAACGAGAGCCTGAAAGCATTGAAACGGGTGGAGGTGACAGCGGCTGTGACAGCAGGTGGAGAAAATGAATCGATGGGTGGAATTGATCTTGTTAACTCGAGTCAGTGGTGCGAGGCCAATCGCATAACATGCAGCCCGAAGCTGGGTCAGACACCGAGCGAGAAGGGAGGGAGGTGGAGAGAGGTGTGTGAACGATGATGAACGAAGGAGGGGGAGAAAAACGCAAACTAACTTCATTAAAAGCACAAATGAATTCAAAGCTGTGAGAAATGAGTCACTGCCAAAGAGAAGGAATCCCCCCCAAAATACAGAGGGCAGATTGAAGAAATAATAATGAGGTTGTTTGGCAGTGTAATGCAAACGCTGCCGTTAACGAGCAGGCATCAGTGTTTATGTACGAGCATCTCGGAGGCAGGAGGGGCAGACGTTGTTTATAGATACTCAGAGGATTCCTGGTTTGTCTTGGCAGAGATCCGGGAGGCGTTTAAGGTGCTGGACCGTGACGGGAATGGGTTCATCTCCAAACAGGAGCTGGGCATGGCCATGCGCTCGCTGGGTTACATGCCCAGTGAGGTGGAGCTGGCCATCATCATGCAGAGACTAGACATGGACGGTGAGTCACACACACACACACACACACAGGTGTAAAGATGTACTGAGTGACGCAGATTAGATTCCTCCCCTCATGTGTACACACATGAAAATACACCCTCAGCCACAGACACGGTTTCATCCACAGGAAACTTTAACAACATTTACAGACAACGTCAGTGTGGTTTTTTTTTTTTTTTTTTTTTTTTTTTTTTTTTTTTTTTTTTTTTTTTTTTTTTTTTTTTTTTTTTGGCCTGTTCACATGCACAGATTGCATGTTCCACTGTGAAAGTGAAACTCATCCCGGGAGAGAGAGAGCGACACATATGAAGTACGTGAGATTTATTAAATATACATACAAATGACGTGTCGATCCCAGTAGGTTTTGCGATTGGTTGTTCAGTGAAAACGAAATTAGACGGTACAAAGTATTCACAGCAGCAGGCGAATCAACAAACTGCTTTAATGCATAAAGTCCTTGTGTTTTCTGTGTGTGTGAGAGGGAGATATGTATCAGCTGAGTTTAACTACAACACATAGCTTAAAGCAGAGTATGGTTTAATCAACTTTCAGAGCTGATTGGTCAAAGTCGAGGTCGACACAAATATGATGTTAAAGGCACGGTCCTGAAGATAATAGACGATCTAAAGCTTATATTGATCAGAAACGTAATCTCATGATAAGTAACGTCATGCATATTATCTCTCGAGGTATTTCTGCACCTTAAAGGACTATAGACACGACCTGAAGCTTGAATAGATCAAAATAAATATTTTGGATAATATGGCAGGAATAACGTCACCATGACATCACTGTCACATGATTCTGACATTCACTTGGATGTACAACTGCAGCGAATGATGTATTATTTATTACAAGAAATATGATTCGAGACGCAATCTACAGCTTATTCAGAATTCATCATTATATGTTATAAATCCTAAAGTGATGACATCATTATGACATTACATTATTAGCCTCGTCCTCACCTGTGACCTTTAAACCTTTTGTTCCTGAAGATAATTCTCTCACAACAACACAACAGTCCCACGTCTGTCAGTCTGCGAAGCCGTCCCCATTAAATGTGACTGACATTTAAAAAAAAAAGGTCTCTCAAGATTTTTCTAAGACAGGGACTGAGAAATTGCAATATGCAAATTTATGATCACTCTGAAAATATTCATATTCATCATGCCGCTACCTCAGCCTTTGTTAATTGCTTTTCATTCTCAGTGTGGAGGGAGAAATACAGTAAATTCAAGGCTGGCTATTAAAGTTTAAGGAGTTATTGTCTTTCCTCCTCTTCTGACTCATGAGCTTCAGACTCTCAGGAGACCGTCGCTGTGTTTGTGCCTCTGGGCCTCGGCGGTGTTGCATCATCTGCTGCGACTTGAAGTTGCAGGCGAGGCAACTTCCGGAGACTTTCTGATGAAGGTCACAGCCGCTTTTGTCTCAGGAAGTCTGTGAAGTGAAGAGCTGTTTATTTATTAACTGTGTTCCTCTGTGTGTCTCTGCCTGTGGAATCTTGTGTTCTTTTGTATTGACGGATCATTAGCATTGTTTATTTTAGCCTTATTGAATCTGAGGACCGACTGCAGTCGTCCAGCTCAGGCAGTTTTTTGTGTTTGTTAATTGATTTTTAATTTCTCACTCACTCAGATGAGATCCCTCAGGTTTACTTCTATCAGAGGCTCAAACACAGAGGTTCTTTGGGAATCAAGCAAAACAGAATGAGCATGGTGTTAAATTTGTTCTGAGATAAAGAGCTGCAGGAGGCAAACACATCACATAAAGGTTTTGGCTGCTTTACGAGCCAACAGGTTGGAGTCTGGCTCCAACGCTTCACTGGTCTACAAGATAGAAACGCTTTCTTCCAGCACTGGGGGCGGGATCATCGTAAACCAACAAGAACCAAGACACCAACCTAGACATTTCTCTTTTTCAACAGATCCTGTGTGTGTAGTCTGCAAAAACGAGTAAAGATTACTGAACCTGAACTCCTTTTCAATGCAAACATGCACCAGATCACGCTTTGTTGTAATTTCACCTTATTTTACAGTAAATGCTTTAATCCTACTACAGCTATATCTTTACTGCTTTTTTACTACAGCTGCTGATAGTCATTTTTTACACTTGATACTATATTATTCATTCTCCAAAATTGAATTTCCAAATACGTAAAAATTCCTACATAACCTGTTTGCACTCCCAAACAACTGATGTTTTTTGTGGCAGCAACAACAACAATGAACACACAGTCTGGGTCCGTTCAGTCTCTCTGCTTCTATCCAGTCTCTTCCTGTGTTGTGTCACAACAAAGAATCGGCAGGAAACACAACAATGAATTATCCAAGCAAGACGCGAACTCGTGCTTCCTTCCTAAAGACGAACTTTCATTTCAAGACATACACCTCTTCAAGGTCATTACCACCAGAGGAGATAGCAGAGGGTGTGTGATCGATATTGAAAAACAAAGAGGCTGCAGGAGTGAACTCTCACACTTCTCCACCAAGGGCGAACAGAGCTCAATAACAATCACGGGGATCTGACGACTGGGACGAGCAGATAACCCGTCAGTATCTTCTGCAGATCAGGTGGACTCGGCCGCTGAGCTCAGAATCGATGGCTGCGGACGAGGATCTGATCGTCACAGCTGCTCACAATACAATCACCATCATCTATCCTCATTCATCTGCTGACGCCCTCTCATCTGCCTCGCTGGCTCCTCATCACTGTGACGACACACATGCACTTGAGACGATGGTTTCACACACAGCTCGGTGAATAACCAGATTTTTAACAGGACATGTTAATCTAATCAATTCTGTGATGAAGTGTTCTCACATTGTTCTCAACTCATTTCTTCCAGTTGGTGTTGTGTTATGACAGCCCATAATATCATGAATAACATGAATGCAAACTTAATACATTTATATAATACTTTACATACCGCTGAGTCTGTATCATCTCCTCATATTACCTAAAGCAGAATATAAAGTGTAGTAGGATTCCCATGGACTTGTATTTGAATCATTGAGTCCTTCATTTATCTTCTTTACTCTTTTATTTCCACACACGCTGCCAAGAGGCTGCACTCACTGCCAGCATATTTTTCACCGAGTGAAAGAGGCATAATATAATGTCATGAGGAGAATTATGAAAAAAGACAAGTCATATTTTATTTCATTGTGACTTTAAAATGTTGGGACTGGCTGAGGATTAATTATGGTCACACATTTTTTATAATAATAAAGTTACAATAAACATTACACGGACAAAATGCCTCTAAAACAATATCGCTAACAGCTCTGAAATGCATTTCCATTATCAGGTCCATCATCCCATAATGCATCTGGTCACAAATTCAGCATTTCTTCCTCCTGAAAGTCTAGTTTGGTCTCCGCAAACTATCCTGACAGATGTTTAGCCTTTGTCTTATTCAGACTGTCCAGTCTTCGTCCTCAGGTTTCATACAGCCACTCTGTGACGGTGGTGCAGTGGTTAGTGATGTTGCCTCACAGCAAGAAGGTTCCCTGTTTGAGGATCACATGTTACTCCCGTGTCTGCATGCCTGGGGTTTCCCCAAATACTCCAGCTTCCTTCCATTAACCTCCTTGCATTGAGGTTAATCTAAGATAAAATCAATTCAACCATATGTGTGAATGTGATGTGGATCATCGTGCTTCTAGCCACAAACTCAGCCTGAGAATGTCAGCACTTCGATGGACTACTCACCCTCTAAAAAGTCTTTCACATGACATCCAATTTTTATATCAGTGGAAATAAAACACATTTTCACTGGGTGTTGTTCTAAACAACAAATGTTGTGCAGCCTGAGCCTTATGCACAAACACTACATCAATCCTTGCCCTTGTACCAGTTCACCCAGTCGTCTCTGCTGTCATCTCTCTTTTCTCTGCTGTCATCTCTCTTTCGTCCCCTGGATCATAACACTGCTTCATTTGCCCAGCACTGAATATAAGCACAAGTGCAGTCAATGGCATCAGACGTGACAGTGCCAGCATCCCACTGAGAGGACTGTAGGTGCAGGGGCAGATTGAGTTGTCCTGCCTCGGTAACTTTCCTCTGACAAGGTCCCGGCCTCATCTGCAGACAGAGAAAGAGAAAATATAAATGCGTTTACAAAAGGGACAAACAGGAGGAATACCCTGTGTTACGTTTCTGTTGCTATAGCTTTTATAATCCCAGCTTTAAATTCTGCTGTAGTTCATCTTAACATAGATTTAATTAGAGGGGTTTTCATACCTTGTTTGGCCCAGAACATGACATTGGACATTTTAAACAGGCGTTATCTAAGACGAAGATAAATTACAGTTTCGTCTCAATAGCGGTATTCAAGTGCTCTTTCACCAACAGACCAACATTTATTCTGAAAACAGGTGGTCTGGGTCCAGATCAAACTCAACCATGGTTTGAACTATCTGACCAACTTAAGATAAAATCAAACCATAGAAGAAGAAAAAGAGGAGGAAGAACGATTGCTTGTAGTGTTCACCTGCAACGATATAATGTTTGAATGATGAAGACGTTAATTTTGCTGGTTTTAAAACCATATTCATTCATTTTCTCCATTCAAACAGAAAGACGACTTTTAGTCTACACACTTTATTCAAAAATGTAGCAAATACAAAGCTGAACTGACAACAGACACTCACCAATCAAAGTCAGGCGGCTAGATGCAGCCCACAGGTGATGACGACAGGGCGTACGTGTCACACACAATTCTTACAATGTCACATGTAAACAATGGAACAAAGACATGAACCTTGACTCTCAGGAGTGAAAATATAAATCTGCTGAGGAGATGGTGAAAACAATTCCTCGATCCTGTTCTCGTTCTTTGTTTTGGCAGCAGCTTCAGCAGCGATCAGCGGGCTCCCACATTAGTACGGTTGGAATCAATGAGCTCTGCAGGAACTCCGTGTTGTGAGGGATACTGTGGCTGTAAAGTTTGATCTATTTCTGTAGAATTAGTCTGTTCTATCTCTGGTCTCTGCAGAAAATGTTGTATTGAACTGTGTGATTTGAAGCGTGCTGGCCTTCCATAATAACAGCACGCACACATATTTCTTTTTAAGCTCAAACACTGGGAGTAATAATAACCAAGCTTCTGCAGAAATGTTTTGCAGCCCCAAAGGATCCATTTCTGCTTCACACTAATTTAATCCAGGAAAGCTTCATTCCTTGTTTTCCCCAAACACCGACTTCACTTGATGCTCTTACGCAGATTCAGCTGCAGGCTGCTGGCAGCTGAGTGCTCCGCTCAGAGGCACATCTGCCAGAGTTGTGCAGGACACGAACATCATTTGTTATTTCCTCTGCTTTGCCTCTCATTCCAAACCCATGGAGGTGTACAGTGAGACATGATCTGATTTTTACAGTGTTAACGTTGAGATAACCCAGGAGTCTTGAACAGCAAGACGAGGGAGCTGATCCACAGAAAAACGAAAAACAAAACATTTCCCTTTCTGTTGTGGAGACTCAAGAACCGCTCATTAGATTATGAGATGTAGAAGGAGATGGGATGAGTGTGATATGTTTGACAGTTGGGATCTTTAAGATGGATTTGGTCACAAATTGAAGATAATTAAAAATATTTCCAACTTACAGCTGCATGTGTGAACCCAAATGTCCGAGTGAGACGCTCCGCAGTTTCTAAGGACTTTCTCCACCTGGCCTCCAAGCATAATGTCCATAGAAATCCAGGAGAACTCGATCTGTGAACACAGCACAGGATCAATCCCTCGCTAGATTCGAGGATTCAATGCTGTTGTGAATGTGTGCAGAAAACCTCCCGCTGTGATGTGCATGTGTGAAAGACAAACTCTGGGTAAACGGCGCAGTCAATCCTCCTGATTTTACCCAGAGATCATGCCTGAAAACGGGAATAGACTCTAAGTCATTACTTCTTCTTGATGTTCAAAACTAAAGCAAAAATGTCCCAGATGTGGGCGTTGCCATCTAGCACTAGTGATGTCATTTGGGGTCTGTGCTGTAGCGGATGTGGAATGGAGCTTAACCAAATAACTTAATAACCAAGTCAGTTTGAGTCACTTTCACCTTGTTTATATAGCATCACGTAATCAAAGGCAAACTTACGGGTGTAAACATTGTCTTAATAACTAAAATGACAGAAATTGTATTTGGAAAAAAATAGTTGTTGTTGACTTATTCCTGGTTTTTTGTGTTTGGTCCATGTCCCATCTGACTTGTGTGACCTCTCTAGTCGTCCATCGTTATGTACAGTACAAATCAGCTCTCATCAATCTGCACTCTATTGTGTCAGGTGACGGACAAGTCGACTTCAATGAGTTCATGACGATCCTCGGACCCAAACTCCTGTCGTCTGAAACGAGAGAAGGTTTCCTGGGAAGCACAATAGACACCATCTTCTGGCAGGTAAGACTGTAACCCATCTGTTCACTTTGTTGATCACGACTCGATATGAAGGATCAGGGTTAATTCTTCAGCCTTCTTCCTTTGTTTGTTATATGTTGTGTTCTATAGAAGTAGTAACTGATCTCCTGTACTTATATGATGTGGTGACTGAGGTGTTCCTCTGCATCCAGCTGTGAAAACCATCATCGCCACACAAGTGCAAGTGATGCATTAAAAACTAAATGGTAAATGGACTGTAAATGTATGTATATATATATATATATGTATAGCACATTCACCCATTCATGCATGCATTCATATAACACTTCTACACACACAGTTTTCTATCACACACTATCATACACCGTAGTCACACCATCTGGTTTGTAGACGACCCTCTGTACTTCCAAATCACACAAATTCATAGATATCAGTCCCTCAACTATGCCTTATTTTCCTCATCAACATCCATGAGTCATTCTCTGGGAAATTCACAAAAATGTCATAAAACATCCGATCTCACAATGTTAAAGGAAATGATAAACAAAACCTGGATCTTCCGCTTTGTTCGAATCCAATTAAAAATGTAATAGGTTCTTTTTTGGCTCATGTTCCATCCTTCCAACAAGTTTTGTGGAAATTCAATCAGCAGTCTGTGCATAATCATGATGTCAAACAAACAATAATACACATGGATCAAAGAATAACCTGCTCGTGGAAGGGACAGAGATGTTTTTATCAGAGAATGCATGCCCACTTAAAGTTAGAAAAAAGAAAATATGATGAATTTAATTAGGTTTCGAGATTGATGCTCTTCATTTTACTCTCTTCCTTCATGAAGCTGCTCGTGTCACTGATGAGAGATGGTCTCCTACAATCAAATCAGTGATTAGAGGATTTTATGATGCTGAAAATGAATTGTGCCCAAAGGTAGAAATTATCTCGGGTTCGGCCTCAAGTGTTCCATCTTCCCTACTTCTCTGCACTAATGCAATCTATAAATCACGCTTAAGGAAAATACTTTATTCAACTCAAGTTTCAACACTGGTTTCTGTGCGCCCCTCTGAAGGGCAGTGCAAAACAAGAGCTGAATATCCGGCATCTGACGTCCTCTGAGAGATATTGTGACGGATGGCGGTTGAATGAGACCCCGACAGATGGGACTTTGAACAGCTGTGCAGGAGACTCAGACTGACGAAAGAACCTGCTGTACAAGAAGTAAACAAGAGAGGAAACGTCAGAGTGAGAGTGATTGACTTTGAGCAAGTGAGACAGGGGGTGATGAATGTGCAGACAACAGAAAGAGTGAGAGAGAGGAAGAAGGGGGAATGATGACAAGCCGAGCAGGTGTGAAGGGAGAGAGCGGAGCATTTGGCTCTGATAGTAACACTTGGCAGTAACGTCCTCGTGATGTAATCAGAGTCTTGACCCGGGCTTTTTCTTGGGGGCAGGAGATTGTGGTTTACACCCCAGAGGACAAGACCAATGTGCTGCCAGCCTCATCGGACTCCTGCAGTGAGTGACTTTGGCTCGTGCAGAAGAGCGGTTGGCCTGAAAAGTTTTATCTTTACCCGTCCATGTAAGGCTGATGCTTGTGGCTTGGCTCGGTTTTGGGTTTTTGTCACTTCACCACTTACAAACCCACATTTCTTGTCTGATGAATTAATGCCTCGACACAGGAATTGGCTGCGAACACCTCGTCTGATGTGTGGAGCATATTCAGAGGAAAGAAATGTACTGCCGACGTTGATTCATCATGATTATTTCTCCACACGCCTCACAGAAATTACTTGCTTGAGGTATTACAGTTTTGTGCCTAGTTTAGTTCAGTAATGGACTGTGGTGTATGACTCAGATTCGTTCTACGTATTTATACTGCGTTCAGTCATCCTGCATGAAATGTGTTGTGAAGAGAAAGTTTTGCTTTTAAATGTATGGAGTATTTGAGTATTTAGAATCAGCACAACAGTTTCTGTATTTGTCCACAGCTTTGTTTTACTTTTTACATCTGAAAAGTTTTTTTGCAGAACTTTCTTTGAAGGAGGAGCCAGTCTATTTTGAACGTCCTCTTTTAATCTTCACCACAGTACATCCAGTCACCGCATCTCCGTTTAATGATCTTTCTTTGAAGAATGAAAACCCATTAAATTCGTTTTGAATGACTCCATTGGCCACAGTTCACTGACTTACTTTGAAATTCAAAGGAAACAGTGATTTGTTATTTGTGGGTTTCAGAACTGTAGTTTTAACCTTATCAAAGAAAACCAAGCAGCCACAGAGAAGTGAGAACAAAATGCTTGGCGGCGTTTTATAAAACCACGAGCTCCTCCTTGACTTCTTAATCCTTATTAAGGGCAAAGTTACAGCGGCGTTGCAATGCTGAAAGGACCTAGCTCTGGTATTGGGATCGTCCGGGGGGCGTATGAGGGACAGTTTGTTGCAGAACATGAAGAAACTCACAAATCCAATCTCAGATAAACAAAAACATCCTCAATACTTTTGTTCTGTTCAGTACTTGTGTTCCTGCAGGGTGGTCTCTTCATGTGGTGGTCAGGTCAGGATCAAGGAGATTGTAGCAGTCACGCATTCCTGCTGCAGACAAAGGTTTCAAAAACTCAATTTGTCTCAAAGAACCATCGCAGAACATTTTGAAAAAGCCCAGAAGGACACTGCAAGAAATGTGCTGTTCTCTGCTCTGCAATGAAACAGACTCATCTAACTAGGTTCTGTTGTACGTTCGATTACTGTCGGGTTTGATACGAGGGAGGAGTTGTATTCACAAGCCGTGCATGCTGTGCCAAGTGCAACTATTCAAAGGATAACACCGGATTTTTTCACTCTGCAGGAACAAAAGCCTGCTGACATCTGAGTATGCTGCAGAGTTTGCAAAACTCCTTCAGGTGTTTGTTTTAGAAAGCAACTGAACATATTGAACGAATATATGAGCTACAACAAATCGTTGTTTGGAACAACCTAGTGTGAGATGCTCTGGGGCTCTGCAAAGATCTAGTTCTGCTCAAGACTGCCTGATCCATCCAGCTGCATGTGATGCATCATCATCATTATCATCTGACATCAGACACCTCATCCCACCAGATGAATTTCCACCCATTAGAATAGAGAGCTTAAAGTGATGTGTTAAATATTTTATCCCTCGAAGGACGTCATTAAACTTACAACGACTCTTTATAGGAAAAAAAAGTTTTCCCCTGATTCAGCTGCAGGGGTTTTTTGATACCCTTATAAAAAAAACACTGTAAAAATGACATTATAGTGCCTCACAGATGAAAATGTCCCCTCCCTCTTGAATTTTGTAGGATCTTACTATTAAGTATTTATTTTCCCTGAGTCTCGCTCTGTGACACCAGCAGACCCCGGCTCACTCACAGTCACCTCACATGTTCTGCTTTGAGATTTGATCCTTAATTCCACTCATGTCAGGCAGCGGTGTGTGTGTGTCACGTCCTCACCAGCTGGAGTGACGGGATAATGATTCACCTGCTGTCACACACTCACATTTGAACAATGTGTTAATCTAATTAACCCGTCTGGATGATTATTAGCTGCAATCGATCTACTGCAATTTTATTCTCTTCTGTTTTGCCAAGTCATTGACACAATCATCAAAAAGAGGGCTTCGCCAATGACAAACACATTATTGTACTTTAATTAGTTTCTGTGAAACAGATGCTCTATGTGAATATGCAGAATGTGTGGGCCTGAAGCTTTCTGGTTTCAGTTTCTAATTTGACTCTGGCTTTGGTCGCCTGCAGTCTACAGAGAGTTAAAGAGACAAAAGCTAAATAATGCATTGACCGAAACGTATTTGCTGTTGATAAAAAAATCTCATCTGGACTTAAAACACCTGAAAAAAGATTATAGCTGCTGGTGTTTTTGGTGGAGGAATGTTTGACTCGTGTGATAAGAGAAACTAGTCAGACTATAAACAGAAGAATTTAGAGATGCTGCACACTTTAATGTTTTTTTGCGCTGTAGCTATATCATTAGATTGTGAAATACACAGTTTTAAAATCAAATTTATCACAAAGTTTATTTTAAATTGATTATTCATTTTTGTTAACACTTCAGCCAAACTTATGGGTGAAGTAATCTGTTGACTACACAGACTGTGTTTCTTATGATGTGTTAATGTCAAACATTTTGTTCATGATTAATTTCCACACCTCTTTGCTTTTCACAATTTCTTAGGCTGGATTGACATAATTTCCCACATGTGATATGGAGAGACTTTATTCATGTGTGTGATAATTACTGAAGATGTGTGAGATCCTTATGCTAGAGGATCCAGGCTCCTTTGTGTTTTTAATTGCGGGTCAGCGTCCGCTCCTTTGTACTAATTAACCCCTGTGTCTCATCATTGAGATGGTGATTTATGCCAAGTGACCCGAGCATAGTGAAGTGCACCTGTGCCCCGAGTGTGACTGCGGGAAATGCAAATCATAGAAGCTCTGTCATAATTCATAATTGGAGAAAACTAATAAGCCGTTACTTGTCAACAGTCGTAAGTCACAACTTGTCAAACTCGGAGTTTTCCATCTGCTACAAATTCATAACTTGATTTTATTTGTGGAGAACAGAGGGAGCTGGAATGAGCTGATGCCGATTGTGTCTCTGGAATAATGTTCTCTTCTGTCTTCTCTTTCATTTCAACATAATGTGGCAGATTGTGTCGACAACAAAAATGTTTTCGTCTCAAGCAGACTTTCAGAATCAATACATGAATTCTCATTAAGTGACCTGCACTTTTAATGCAGGTTGTTTTCTTTCCCTCCTCACAAACATTAGTGTTTTCACTCCTGTTTGTGTGCGCGTCACCTCACAACACATGAATGGATTTTCACCAAACTGGGATTATTACTTGGGAGGGGGCCTCCAGATGATCTGAGAGGTCAAAGGTCAAATCAAATTTTCCAGTTAATCTCTGCAAATAATAGTGAGACAATCTGAAGCTGATCAGAAAATTTTCCCCATTATCGTCATGCATAGTTCACAAATACATT